TATTATTATTCTGTTGTTGTTGGAATATTACCCGACCAGGAGATAGGGATTTATCGTCATATTATGTCATTGTGTTGCCTTACCAAATTTCCGCTATTAGTACTCCTAGAGGTTTTTTACTTCGAGCTTACTTTCAACGTTAAGTTTTCCCCTCATATTTTGGATAGTCAGCCTATAATCAAATTCAATCATATTTCATAAGCAATTAGAAGAGTACGTGTTGTTATAGTGTTTACACTCGACCAGTGGATTATATTTCATCAAAAGGAGTAACCAATAGTTATCACCGACTGGGGTGGCACACGTTCTCTCCCAGGCACTGTCGGGGGTAGCTGATTAACCGCCAGCTGCGCGCAGGCCCCAACGGAGAGGACACATCTCGAGGATCGGTACGTATTAACTATTAAGGAACCCACCTTTGTGGAGACTACGAACTTGGATATCACCTTTTGGCAATACCGGCGATTACGGAACCTAAGGATCAAGACCAAGACTTCATATTTTATGTAAATAGTCGGCACACAATAAATGTACATATTTGTGTTTAATGAATCATGGTTTTCATTTAAGTAAGTTACCGGAATCGCTTACAAATCTGGGCTCGTAACACATTTTTCGAACCTGAATAGCAGTAAGGCCTTGATAAAACTTTAGTGACGGCCTGTCAAATCGAGCTTTTGGCTCATTGCACTAGTCTCATATATTAACACATGTATATTTTAGTCTGGGTCAATAGCCATTTTACAAGACAGGTATAGTTTAGTTAATTAGTCGTCACGCACATATGGTGGTAGCGGTACTACTTCTCACATTACAGAGTTACAGACTTTGATTGATCAACCACTAATGACCATGGACGGACAACTGACGTATAACGCAGTCCAGACTTCCGTCAATACCTGAGGTCAAGGGCAGGGCCGTGACCGATAGGGGAGTTACGTCACAAGTGGTGACAGTGGTGGGATTATAAAATTGTGTTTACAGTAGCGATTCCGGTGCGAAAACCATGATTTAACATGTAGCTTACTAATAATTTGTGTTTGTGGATATTTTGTGCAAACGTGCTGTGAGTGATACATCCGTTGGAATTCTTCGGCAAAATTGTGTTCTGGTGGAAGGAAGTTGCTATATTCTTTGCGATTAGATTAAGTGTATTTCAACTGCATTGCTGTTTGTGTATAAATATAAATATATATCAGAAAGTACCGTGTGCCTTCTATTAAGTGATTGTGATTACAAAGATGGATGATTCCAAAACCATTGTGTTTGGACCAAGGAAAATAGGATCAGAGGCAACCTCGGACACCGATGAAGAGACAGTCATGTACGAGCCAAACAACGAAACCAAAAAGGAACAACAAATGGTATTACCAAAAATTGAACCGAATGTCAAAGAGTTTAGCTCTTTGACAAGGGAGGTACGTGACATGTCTCGTCATATGGAACACATGTTTTCTAAATGTGTACATCACATTAAAATGACCCAAGTGAACATACGCCATGAACTTGAAGAGCAAAGGCAACAATTTAGCAGTCAGAATACTGAAGTGCGGTTACAGGTTCAGACTGCCAGTGAGGAGCTTACAAGGATGGATCGTCAATTAAATGACCGTGGCTTTGGTGACAACCCGATAGTTGTCCCCAAAGACTGTACAAAAGAGGTGGAAGGAGACTCCGCTGGTTACCGAGACTCTGTAATAAAGCCAAAGGATAAAAAGGTTTTCAGTGCTCTCGGGGAGTTTAACCTAAAACCACCCATATCCTCTATCGAATTAAGGAATCCTATAGATAATTTGTCACCAGTGCATGGTATGTCAGCCATTGCTGGAGGGTTCTCGGGGAGTGATATTTTGTTCAGTACCCCTGAGGGTGCCAGAAACAGTATGGACTCTTTACGTGGTACACATGGATCCACCGTAGGTTCACAAAGTGTCAGATTTTCTCCGTCAAAAGAGGACTTGTATACATCTGCGGCTGATAAATCATCAGGGCCGAAAGAAACACAAGGTTTTACCGGAAATTTGCATAATACACCTCGAATTAGACCCCAGTATTACGATGGTCATGATGATTGGGAGGAATATCTTACCCAATTTGAAAGTGTTTCCGAAATAAACAAATGGGACTATGCTACCAAATCATTATACCTGGCAGGTAGTCTCAAAGGTCAAGCAAGGGCGGTGTTGAATGAGCTCGCGCAGGACAAGCGACGTGAATTCTACAGTCTACACAAGGCTTTAAATAGTCGTTTTGGTTCCGTGAATAGGTCTGAAATGTTCAGAGCTAGGTTACAAACGAGGACCAGGGGAAAGGATGAGTCCCTACCAGAACTCGCACATGCGATGAAAAAGCTCACTAGGCAAGCTTATCCTTCAGCTGATTCAACACTAACAGAGATTCTGGCACTGGACCATTTCTATTGATGCATTATCAGATGGAGATATGCGGTTTAGAATACGAGAAGCTCAGCCAAAAACAATAGCTGAGGCCGAAACCCTGGCGATGAGACTTGAGACACACACACTCGCTGACCGCCAGCGTGGAAGACAGGTGAGGATAGTGCAGAATAGTCAAGGGAAAGCACCTGCATCTCTGGTCAAAATAAGTGACAATAATGGGTTGCAGCAGGAACTACAAAAGTTTCAGTCGGGGTTGTCTAATTTGTCAAATCAATGCAACAGTTATCAACAAATTATATTTCCGAAACTAGACCAATAATTGCCACTCCCCTTGTCGACAGGGACTGCGTCATAATATCCAGGCGAACAATGGGAACAATGACCGTAGTCACCAATACAGCAGAAATTTCAACGGAAGCACTCAGTATACAGTAAAAGAGAAGACACCAAGTCCGAGGGCCGGGATTTAGGTGTCGGTGTTAGGCCCATATCCGCGTCAGAATGTGAGGACGGGATCTCTGTAGATGTGTATATATATGATGTGTGTGTAAATATGTTGGTAGATACGGGAGCAACAATCACGCTACTCCACCCGTGTGGTTTGATAAAATATCAGAGTTGGAAAGGCCGGAGTTGGAATCGGTGTTTACTCAACTTGTTACGGCGACAGGCGGCACTTCCTCTTTTGATGGACGGTGTGTTCAACCTATGAAACTTGGGAATAGTACAGTTGATCACTTAGTGTGGGTAGCAGATATCAAGGTTCAGGGGATTCTAGGCCTGGATTTCTTGTTAAAACATTGTCATGAATTGTGTCTCAGCGAGCAGTATTTACTGTTCACCGGGCAGGATATACCAGTTACTGTGAAACTTGCGATTGCAAATGAACAGAGGTGTTCCATTGTGACAAGTGAAGCTGTTAGTGTGCCTCCCCGTAGTGAAATCATGATTCTTGGTAGAGTGACTGGTACTCGTACAACAGATAGTTCA